GGGCTCACACCATATGTGTGACTCATATTGTGGTCAGAAGGCAGATCCTATAAGCGTGGAGGAAAGGCCTCACTGGCAGGGGTTTCCATGACTGATCGCCACGGACTCTATCCGTCTGGTCAGGGGCATGCTAGCTGTACTGGGGTCGTTAGTCACAGTGCCCTTATATGTGCTGATTCTGCTAACCTCTCAATTAGGTGAGCAGTGTGGGAATATGCTGCTCCGCTGACGTGATTTCGGTTTCAGTCTTTCAACTGTCCTGCAAGTGACTGCTGGGAGTTGGGAGTGAGTCATGATCCTGGCAGGTTGATATTTTCTTACAGCATTTTTGACACAACAACTAGTGGATGTAAATAGGGATTAAATTTGAATACATCAGTACATTACACAAACTCACAATTGGTGCTGGTGCTTTTTTTTTGTTTGCCATTTGATTTGGAGGGTGATGCGTTGTCAGAGGCCTGAGACTTAGACATAGATATATCATTCAGCAGGGCAGCTTCATAATCTGAAGAAACAAACAAGTCAAAACAAATGTAAAAAAATAACCACAAGGTTTTTAAAAAGCTATAAAAGTTATAGACCAAGCCGAGTTGATGCCTAAACTTTTACTTACCAACAAATGGATTCCTCTCGAAATGCACTGTTCTTCTATTTGGACAAAATTTGTATTTATTAGCAATGCAAATTAACAAGGACATCTTAAAATATAGCCAGTTCATCAGCCTGAGAAGTTAAGTGACCACACTCCATGTGAATTAGCCTTGTGGTTAGAGATGCAGTCAGTCTGACTGTTAAAAAAACGGGTTTCCAATCCGGCCAGCAACAATACAAATTAGGATTAGAAACTATACTAACAAGTTACAAGTTTCAGTAGTCACATATGCAGTAGTGCAAGTAAAACAGTGCATGGTAAAGCAGCAACCGACATGTTAAATGTACATGTTTTATACACAAATATTCGGGTTGAGATGAACACTTCTCCCAAATCTGACACGGGCCGATAAATAGTCGTTCTTCAACCCCCCTCGTTTTCATAGCAGAATATTATTATATGTTGTGTTTTCTGTGGTACATACCGTTGTTGGTTAAGGGGAACTGAAAACGGAACACGGCGGTTTTTACCCAACGTAGAAAGTGGTGAGCTCATCTTGTAACATTCGTTAAACGTTTGGGGAAGTAATTGAACAATTTACAAGTTACGCATATGACATTCATTGCAATTCACATGCATCCCAAATTACAATTAAAATATGTCCTAAATGTTTACATACGGCTGGTTTATCTATTATCTGACCTAACTAAAGTCACTTTTATCTGTGGTGCCATTAAATAATTTAACGTAATGTAGATTAAATCTGAATAATTCTAGATTCTGTCGCTTCGAATCGTCTCGCTCTTCTAGTGAACAGATTATTGTTTGGAGTCCGTTGTCATTGGTAACATGAGTTCGTTGTCATTGGTAACATGAGTTCGTTGTCATTGGTAACATGAATATTCAGGATCTCAGGCGTGGTCGCGTCGTGACGTAAAAAAGCCCGCCAGATAATAAGAATTTGATTTAATTTCACATTTTATTTTAATGTGACGCATTTGAATAGTTATCCGATATGCCTTGATAAACAGGAGTAATTCAAACCCTAGCAGGTCTACTTTAATTTCATAGTTTGTCATACGTATATCTGTGTTCCACTCAAAAATCGCAACATTTTAGATAATTTACGTCCAATTACAACGCGCTACCAAAACGTGTCGTGTATACATTACAAATGACCTCAAATATATCATGTTACTAACGCTACTAAAATATATGATATGCTGCGAGCCCTACTAAAACGTAGCCAATTATATATTAATTAATATACAAAACGTGTGATAGGTTACAAATCAATTTTATGTCACATTTACTGTTTGGCATCTCAGTACTGGGGATAAGGTTATGGTTATGGGGATAAGGTTAAGGGGATACGGTTAGGGTTATAAAAACGAAAATGGTACATTTTGGTTAAAGTTGTAATTATCACAAAACTTGAGTTAAGATTTGGGTAAGGTTTTAAAAATGAAATAGGCAAAGTTTGTTAAACCTTACGTACCACAGTATTTTTCAAGGTCATACCACAGTGACAGCTGAATAAATGGTGTAATTTAATGGTTGTGGTTAGTGTATTTTCTAAAGCCTTTCGATAATACAGCTTTTAATTTTCAGTAAAGAACCTATTGGAAGCCATTTTCTTTGAGCACTTGTTGACACAATCCATAACAATCCCCTGCTTTACGCTGCAATTAAATATACAATGCAACATGACATGGACATTTCATCTTGTTTTCTCCTCTTAATTGTAGCCTTTTAGGAAACATATCCAGTACCATGACTTGGTGCAGTCGTCTTCAGATAACATGGTTGGACAACTGTTATGTTGTTGATGCAGTCAGGACCAGAAACTGGAAAAAGGAAATGAAAACAGAACATTGTTACCAGGGAACTATATTCAAATAATGACTGACAAGACACATCACGAAGACGGAACTTCCATAGCGACAGCGATCAGCAACACAGTTCAGGGCAAAACAAAAATGAACAGATGGCCACGCTCTAAATGAAGGAGACAGGGGGTTAAGTCTCTTGGCTGGATGGATATAACAAACCACAATCCAGTATGTCAAACAATTACATACACCATAGCCAAATACACTTTTACTAATTTCTGACACTTAGTTCTAGTCAATATTCCCTGTCTTAGGTCAGTTAGGATCACATCTGTTAGAATGTGTCAGAATAATAAGAGGTTTTATTTAAGCTTTTATTTTTTCACCCTCACAAAGGGTCAGAAGTTTACATATACTCAATTATTATCTGGTAGCTTTGCCATACAGTTTTTTACTTGGGTCAAACGTATCAGTACCCTTCCACAATCTACCTATAATACATTTAGGCCAATTATAGGCCATTTTGCCCCCACATGTTTTTAAATTCCTGCGGTTAAGTCCTGCCCACAACTTTTCTATATGAGGTCAGGGCTTTGTCCAATATCTTGACATTGTTGTCCTTTAGCCATTTTGACAGTTGACACAATTTTGGAATTATGCTTGGAGTCATTGTCCATTTGGCAGACCCATTCCAGACCCAAGCTGTAACTTCCTGATGTTGCTTCAGATGTTTGGAAATTGCTCCCAAGGATGAACCAGACTTGTGGAGATCTACAATAATTTTTCTGAAGTCTTAGCGGATTTCTTTTGACTTTCCCTTGATTTTTTTAAAACAGGCACTAAGTTTGAATATAGGCCTTGAAATACATCCACATGCAGGTACACCTCCAATTGACTCAAATGATTAGCATATCAGAATCTTATAAAACCATGACATAATTTACTGGAATTTTCCAATCATGCACAAAGCTATATCTTAACATGGATTATGTGGAGCGGTTGAAAATGTAGTGCATGTAAACTTCAGACGGTTTTAACTGTAGATTTAACTGTGCACAAGCGTATATAAAACACAAAAATACTTTTTTCAAACATAAACTATTGCTTCGATTCAGACATCGCTTCATGTACACTTCTGTTGACAATAGGAGATACGAGTGAGGTCATTTTTCATACCCTGTTTTCACAGATCTTTCAGACCCAGCCTCTTCCGAATGAAATGAACACAGAGGCAGACACTTTTTCTGTTCAGAGACACAACCTTCCTCAACATGAACAGAGTTCTGATCTGTGCTGTCTTCATCGTGCTGGTGATTTCACTTGTCACCGCGGCAAAGGACGTCAGTAGCTCTAATTGACTAATTGATGCTAATATTGAAATAACAACCTATTGTAAAATGTCTAACATGTGTCTCTTTTGTCTTTCAGATTAATGCAACCACCCCGGCAACTACGGTAATTAGAACATTTTAAATGACTAATTTAATGAATAATTAGAGAGAGTGTGCATAGAGAGTGTGTAATGAGACGGCGTGGAAAATATTTTCTAGCTAGTATCTAGCTATTTTTAAGTTAACTAAAACATTTTATTTGTTACTACAATGAAGCGTTTTAAAGGGGCAATATTTGAAGATGTTTTTATTGTAGGCTATTACTGACAAAAATACAGGCATGAAGTCCAGCAGACATCTGTAAATGTTTCAAATATTTGTACAACATTTTTCTGAGTGCATGAGATTTTCCCACTTAGACTTACTCTGTCTATCAGTTTTCATTGAAATGTAGTTTCCTCACACTGGCTTTTGACACTCACAGTACTAGCTCCCCAACCCCACCCTAAACCACCCCAGACTAACTAGCCCCCCAACCCCACCCTAAACCACCCTAGACTAACTAGCCCCCCAACCCCGCCCTAAACCACCCTAGACTAACTAGCCCCCCAACCCCACCCTAAACCATCCTAGACTAACTAGCCCCCCAACCCCACCCTAAACCATCCTAGACTAATTTATACCATTTTGATCTTGGAGGACACATGTTCTGTATTTGTTTAAATTTCTGTCTTGTAAACATCAGTATCAGTATTTTACAGTGTCTCTTTAAGACCAATGTGGGGCCCTAGGCAATATTTCAGCTGGTGTTCCCCTTGCAACGCAGCCAATTAGTATTCACTTGTTTTTTACTTGATTGGAGCCCTTATGGATGAACGGTGGCCCTAGCATGTGGCCTCGATATATATATATATGTATATATTTATATATATTGCAGTTGGAACATTGTTTACGGAGTGTAATTATGTCTGTTTCAAAACAGAGGACCACAACCACATCGTTTGTGGCCTAAGTGTGTGGCCAGGGCAAACTGCCAGTGGAGGAAGTTGAACTGTTAACAACAGCATGCCAGCAGAAAGTCGTTGGTTTCAAAGCTACGAAATAAAAGACCAATAAATAATCAGTCTGTCTCAGAGAAGCATTTTTAGTTCTAGTTAAAACCATTACCACCAAAAATAGTTCGAATATATTTCTGTTGGCTATTTTGGGGAAAAACAAAACATTAAAACACATACATTGGAGGAGGTGGTAGCTCAGGGCTAGAGTGCATGCTTTGTATATATAATGTCCTGGGTTCAATCACCAGCTTCTCCCCAGGTCGCCGTTGCAAATGAGAAACTTGCATTTTGATATTATAGCTTTTTGTTTTGGCCTTGACGCAATAATGTGAACTTCTCTCTCTTCCAGGGCTCGGGGACAAGCTCTCAATATGTGCCATTTTTGCTGCAGTTTGGCATGATGATTGCAGTCGCCCTTCACTCACATATATTGTGATCGGATTACACATACAAACCAATATGTATGAACAATTTTAAATTTGGAATGAAACTATTTTGCTTTTGGTTGCAGTGTTTTCTGTGTGATTACTTTACTTTAATGTATTTGTTCATGATTGTAAAATGTTTGACACAATTGTTATGTTGACAGAGATTATAGATTATAGGTTATAGGGAATAACGATTACAGCGAAAACTCAGAATTTCTATTTGTCAACCAGTCAGTATATCTACAACATGCTGCATTAAGAGATCGACAGGCTACCATATTTTAAAAATTTGTTCAGGGTCCTTTGCGGTCCAAAAACAATGCTCACTTAATGTGCGCCCATTACAAGAACTTGCTAACAATTTAGTTTCCTTATACAATTCCAGTAATAAAATGTGTCTACTGTGTGTGATCACTTAACTCGATAGTCGAGCAGTAACATAACCAAAGCAAAAAACATGTTATTGTGAACTGTGCGTTGCGCAGTGTATGGCCATTAACAATAATATAAAGTAATACAATTTAAAGAGGCACATAACTGGCAAGGTAAAACCTTGGTGAGACAGCTAAGAAACCTGATGCTTCACTCAACATATTTTCAGATAAAGCAAAAAATACTAGCACATATTTATTCTGGGCAAATGTTGCATATAAAATAAACGTAATAAGGATAATTGGAACCACAAATGATATTAATTTAGAAATGTGAACGTCAACCTTACCCCAACCTAATTTTCGGGCATAGTCTATGCCACTAAGTGCGACAGATACATTTTTGAAAGTTTGCCATCTACCAATTTACATTTTAATAATTTCGCTGACAGAAATAAATAATATATATATATATATTGACATATGTGTAACCATTTTAGACACAGTAGTTGGATATAAAATTGGCCATATCAGTAGTTGAGTAAATCCCTGGCGTGATACTGCGACATGGACCAAAACTCATTAGGGGAAGTAATAAAATGTGCAGACCATTTGAAAAAGGGACATCAGGATACCACATACTTCTTTGGCATTTTGTAGCAAGTCTAGCCCTCACTTCCCATGGGTGGAACTCTACACCTGTCTGATGGATGGCAGCTGGTTCAGGAGCAACTGTAAGGCCAAAAGGTGCCAACAAGGCCGGAAGGTGCCATCTGCTGGAGGAACTGCTGGGATTCCCTTCATACATCAATTATGTTATTTAGCTGTGCCATACACTTCTAATCGTGTTTGACATCTGTACTGGAACAAAAAATGAAGTTTGCAGAAGGTGTTTCCCTCATGCTAAAATAACAATGATACAAAAGAATCATGCAGATTCCAGAACATATTATAGATCAGCCTCGTTATAGAAATGAAACTGCATGTAACCTTGCTGTGAACTTAAGACTACTGGGGTAGCTATCGAGTTGGCTGAGAAAGCACATATCCCACTTCTCAAATGTTCCTACATTAATGCAGCATCCGCTAAATGTAGTAAAAAGGAAAGTTTATAAGTGGTAGAATATAATTTCTACGATATTGCAAAATCCATGCAAGAAAGGATTCCCTCCACTTTTGTCTAGTACCTCACCTTGACGTATTTATTGCAACATATTGATCACAAAGGTTTTGATTGCTATTTAGCTTTGGTTTGCAATTGTATTGAAAAGGTAATAAGCTGCCATGGTAGCCAACTCCTTTCCCGTCCACCAGGTGTCACTGTAAACCAATGCAATGACAGTATCCGGTCAGAAGACCAGCGAAGAAGCCGCCGAATACCCTGTGTGTAAAACCGTTGCTGCCGGACTGCACAGAATCACTAACCTACAAATCACCTGCATCCATATGTATGCGACTGCATGACGTATTGTGTTGTGAAGATTAGCATAATCGTGCGCAGCGTTACTCCAATTGGTCGACACAAACTGACGGGCTATAATCCACCATTGTTGTTTCCGTAGTAGAGACACGTCGATGTGTGTAGACATCTCGACTGAGAGACAGGGAGAGAGTGTGTGTTGAAGAAAACATTACAAAACACGGTAGAAACATTCATGTAATGCTGCATGGCTTTTGGCCGAACACAGTATATGGTGCTTAGAATAATATATCTACACTGTTCAGATGGGGGAGGTGAGAAAACTCCAGAAGAAACTGAGGCAGATTGAGAATCTGGAGATAAGAGTATCTCATTCCCTCACGTCAGAAGAAAAAGTGAAGGTACAGAAGACGACTTACATTGTTAATTATACATCCCTAGTTGTCATATCAGTCGTGTCAACACAGACCCGTCCACTTGTTTTAAAATAATAATGTTCAAAATAACTATACTAATACTATTTAGTCACCTCAGCTACATACAGATCATAGTAGCAACTGTATCAAACTGAAACTGTCTCTTCCAGGTTATATTTGACATCATTACAGTTGATTTACCTCCTGACTCCTAACAGCAGCAGCTCATTACAGTTTGCAATAATTTAATAAAATATACACAATATATCACATATACAATGTTAGGCTAGTTGGCTATGTGAAATAAACCAACCTGCAAAGGGTTTGGTGTGCTTTCAGTTCAACATCTGTACTAAAATGTGAATGTCCACTAAAGACTGGAGTCACACCTGCTTATGTATGATTCATTGTCTTTGTTACAACATGGATGTAGTATTTATTATAAAGCATGCTGTAGAGTATATTACTGTTTGTTCATTACTTTGGATAAGCACATAGCTACTAGGAGACACGCTAGACTATTGAGATGCACCCGGGGAGATGTTTACGGTCACACATGTTTACTATTAACCCGAAGAGATGTTCAAACATGTCTTACCCAACACCACCTCCCCTTCATCCTTCCCCCCCACCTTAAGATCTCCAGGAAGGCGGAGCTCCGCACCAGATTGGTTGAACTGCTGCTGCAGATTTCTGGCCCCCAGCAAACTCCGGGGATTGTGGGAGAAGGAAAACAGGAGAAGATGAAAAGACAAGTGTAAGTAGGGAGAGAGAGACGAGAGAGAGAGATGGCGAGGTTGAAGGCGGTAGACGTCCTTATCAAAGCTTCCGCTCTCACTTTAAAGCCTTTGATTTGGTTCAAGTCTAGTCTACAGAGGTCAACTAGGTTCAGTCAGTCATGCTTTCGAGGCATCCTATCGTATTGGACAAGTGGAGAACGTGTCATTTAGGCAGCACTGAGGGATTCCATCCCCAGATTCTCAGACTGTAAAGGCGACCTCAGGGCCGTAGAACATCAAGGAAATTCAACGGGGTGTAAATGTATGACAAAGTGGAGGGAACATCTGATAAATATATATAGACCACGATAGCCTCATCTGTTGTGTATCTCAAATACAACAGATTCGATGTCTTATTTAACAAATGCACACAAACAAATGCATACAAATGCTGAATAAATCAAATCTATTATTAACATTATTTCGAAGCTTCATTGTGTGTCTCTTAACTGCGTCAGTTCCCATTGTGTCGTTCAGACTGTGGCTGTGCTGTCAAGTCGTTTTTCTCTTTGATGTATGCCTGTTTTTGTTTTTACTGCCTGTTCTCAGAGAAGCCAGCTCAGAGGACCCACCCTCACACAGTGCTTCTGCTACCAAGATTCCCAAAATCCCCAATCGGGAGACTCGTCGGGCAGGTCAACAGGAGAAGACGGCCAGTCGGAAAGAGCCTGTCGCGGAGAAAGAGCCCGGCAGAAATGAGGAAATGGATAGACAGAGAGAGACTAAATCCGGGGGAGTCCAGTCAGAGCCCGTGCCGGCCGTGATGAACACAAGTCTCGTTGAGGACAAGGAAGGTGGGGTCCTCTTGGTTCGATTATGTCGATACGTTTTACTAATCATCGGTTTCTCGCAAATATTCACAATGCTAGTCTCCTCAAACATGATCTGCTTGAGCGGGGCGAAAGTTATGTTGACAATTTTAATAGCATAATGAGTAAATGTTCAAGGTGTTTAGTAAGCAGACGTTTGGGATTATTCAGGGGCCATTTATATTTACATTTGAGCCATTTAGCAGTCCATCTACATCTCATTTACGTTGTATGTAGTTTAGCTGGCGCCTTAATCCAGAGCGATTTACACGAGTGATGTCATAGTACATACAACAGGAAAGATGGTTACAATCTGAGGAGTGAACCAATGAGAAGCAGAGGATGATTAGGGCTGTAGGTTGACATGAGGGCCAGATTAAGGTGCAGAGAACGTTTAGTTTTTGGCCTTATCAAAACATTTACATTGTAAAACAGGATGGTGTTTACCCAAATTTGTCTAGGAGTAACACTTGTTTGGCAAAACGTCTCGCAAGAAAAACATTTTGTTGGGAGGAAAGAATGCACCGAGTTCGCCGGCGTCTGCCCTAGAGCTAACTAACACTTGTGCAGTAATTATTGATCCACTGATCTTAGGAAGGGCTTGAATCTACCAACGGTTTCTAATATGTCCTGAGGGGGCCCAGTGTCAGTGTTTACAATACGTCTTAAAACAGGTATTTTTCTACTTAAATATATCTGAAAAATACCTTATTTTCCCCAAAATCTGATGATATCCGATTTGTTATTATAACCCATTTAATCGCAGTGACTTCATGTGGACTCGGGACAGTCCGTGTTGAGATGTGTGTCTCCTGGAGCACATCTGATGCTTTTGTGGTTCTTATGGGTGCCGCTCATTCAACCATGCATTCCATACCAGAATCTATACGGGCCAAAAATAAAATATTCTCTGGGCTTCCTCCGTAATGGAGCTCGCTAGCATCAAATCCACCTTAATGTCCTGCTAGAGTGCAGTGAGGCAAGGCCAGCCAATCAGATTACTAACACCCCACTCCCAGGACGATGCTGGCCA